GAAGAACCAGTGGACACAGTGAACCTAGGTACCGAAGAGGACAAGAAAGAAGTCAGGGTGGGTGCCAATCTAGAACCCATTGTCAAGAAGCATCTGATTCAGTTGCTACATGATAATGTTTAGGTCTTTTCCTGGTCGTATAAGGACATGCCAGGACTTGATGCAGATATCGTGGTATATCGTCTACCGACAAAAGAAGACTGCCCTCCGGTAAAGCAAAAGGTATGTCGCGTGCGACCCAACATGTTAGAGAAGATAAAAGCGGAAGTCATAAAACAATTCAATGCTGGATTCTTGGCCGTCACCTCTTATACGCAATGGGTCGCCAATGTTGTTCATGTGCCTAAAAATGACGGCAAAGTGCGAATGTGTGTGGACTATAGAGATTTGAATAGGGCAAGCCCTAAGGATGATTTCCCACTTCCCCACATCAATATTTTGGTTGACAATATAGCACAACATAAGGTTTTTTCCTTCATGGACGGTTTCTCAGGCTACAACCAAATCAAAATGGCGCCTGAGGACATGGAGAAAACAACCTTTGTCACACAATGGGGCACATTCTGTTACAAGGTTATGCCCTTCGGGTTGAAGAATGCTGGAGCAACCTATCAGCGTGCCATGGTAGCCTTATTTCACGACATGATACATCACAAAATAGAGGTCTATGTGGAGTATATGATAGCCAGATCTCAAACTGAGGAGGCACATCTAGACCATTTACAAAAACGGTTTGAGAGGTTAAAGAAGTATAAGCTGAGGTTAAACCCGAATAAATGTACATTTGGGGTGAGGTCCTGTAAACTCCTAGGCTTCATCGTCAGCGGTAAAGGTATCAAAGTGGATCCCTCCAAGGTGAAAGCAATACAAGAAATGCATGCTCCTCGTACTGAGAAAGAAGTCAGAGGATTCTTAGGACGGATGAATTACATTGCCAGATTCATTTCTCACTTAACAGCTACTTGTGAACCAATCTTCAAATTACTGAAGAAAGATCAAGTAGTCAAATGGAATGATGAATGCATAACTGCCTTCGACAAAATCAAATAGTACCTACAAGAGCCTCTTGTTTTGATGCCGACAGGCTACACAGGAAATGAATCAATACGGAATAAATAATTGTCCGCCTGAGCATCCATTTATGGATCAAAATCAGGTTAAGGATATAGCAACTTCCCCTTTTTATAAGGTAACTGCACTTCCCTCACGCGATCCTGAATCCAGCTCATATAAGTATCATAAGCTACACTTCCATTATGGCTGAAAGAAAGTTTCCCTTTACGGTAAATATGTCCCCATGCTATCTTCAGTTTTTCAAGCAACACTGCATCTTCCCCCTTACCGAAATAAACGGTATCCATCACCTCCCGCTCATCGAATCTATCTAACATCGCGAATCCTAATTGACGGCGTGCCAGGATAAGGTTATAATTAATGCACCCCCTTGTCCTTATAAGCAGGACATTAGGGAATTATCCACACCCTATAATGATCTCTTTCAAACCTATCACACTTTTCCAAACAATATCATACGAGGTAAGTCCCATGATACGCTGAGACCATAAAGATGAATCGGCAGTATGAACAAAAGGCCCTTTTGTAGGAATATATATCATCAACCACTTATAAAGCGCGATCGCGCAACACATGACTTCCCCTTTCTTCCCATGTCGGGAATGGATGGTGTAATAAGTGTCGGCAAGTAGAGTTGTTACGGGGTTACCGTTCATGAAGACACATAATGCAGATAGATGTACCAACTTCTCGGATACTGGAAAGAGGACCAAACCATAAATCATTGCTGCCAGCAGTGCATTAAATGCGGTCCAATTCATGTCCTTCTCAAAACCCTTGGCCATGATATCAAGTAATTCAGAGGGAGACCGCTCGTTCCACTTTTGTTAATCCAGTTACTCTTAACTTCACCATGAGTCAAATAAAGAGCTCTGGCGATTGCAATATAGTCTGGAGTCTCTGGTTCTCGAACAAAAGGAATACTATTGGTCACCTTGACATCCATAATGTGTGCATATTCTTCAAGAGTTGGTGCCAATTGATAGTCTAAAAGTAAAACAGCGTAGTTGTGGATCATAGAATTGAAGAAGTGTTCTCACGGCCCATTCCTCAAAATCATCGTTCACCAACGGCAATAAGTTTCCATATTGTCCTCTGAAAACTTTTTCATTTGGTCCCTTCACAAGAGCTCCCACCTCTCGTGATCGACCACCAAAGCATGGAAATTGATAAGCAGCAGTGTTTCTAAGAGGCTCTGAGCTTGTCTCCATGTTGTTATCCATCTTTGATGCTGATGACAGACCTCAGAATAATCCTGGAAATGAAATGCAAATGCAGGTTAGGCAGTTATATATTTATTTTCATTTCTTTTATAAAATAAATATGCCATGATGCAAGTGCAATAAACATAAGATCAAAGTTTCTGCAATGCTGGATAGCTGTTGAACTTCTAACAAAACCACTGTTATATGTAACACGATCAAAGGTCCGGACCAATTCGGAATATCAAGGATCAAAGTCATCAGTATAATCAGAGTCACCAACGGAACATGTATAGTCACCATCTATACCTGTAAAGATTATTCCCTCCCCACTCACGGGTAAAGACTAGGTCATGGTAAGGTCAATGGTAACTCATAATCGAGGGCACTCCTGAAAAACTATCGCCATATCACTACGTGAAAATGATAGCCCCTCATTTGTATCTCATCTGAGCATGGATGACATGGCGGCATAGTGGAACCTAAGTCAACTAGCCGTTCATGTTCCACTCTATTCCTAGTGTTCCTGTGGTTTCCACTTGGCCTAGGTATTGGGCCTTTTACCTCATAGTAACATCCCACCCGTCAAGAAACAGAGAAACCAACATAGCAACCATATAACAAAAAATAATAAAGATGCAATGAAAACATATGCTCAAACATATACAAATGAATAATCCATAAAAGCATAATGATAAACACCCTAAGAAGAGAAAAGCGGGAGCTAGGAGTGACTCACGGGATGGACCAGCAATTGGTCGACATATCAATCCCCAGTGAAGTCACCATTTTTCTGTAGTGGTAAAATCAATGAAGTCGCCAGCGAGTATTTATTTATCCCATATGAAATGGAAAGGAAAATCATCGAAGAAAAACCTTAAGGGGGAAATCAAGGTCTTTCGACTGAGAGATTGGGTAAGGGAGTCGATTACGCGAGGGGAAGGTATTAGCACCCCACACGTCCATAGTACTCTACGGGATCCACTCTCGTTATTCTAATCAAAGGGTGTGTTCAATCTAATGCTTAAGTATTGTAAACTAAGAGGGAATGCATGCAAAGAAAACACGGGGAAAATAATGTAGGGAAAATAAAGTTGTACTCGCTTGGGCCCTACCCCAATGCCTACGTATCCTTTTTGAGGAATCAGAGCTACCGTAGTTAGGCTCATATATTTTGTTAGTTTGTATTTTTTTAAATGAACAATGTTGCATTCGATCATTCCACCGCTGCTCGACCTTTGGAGACTTATGACCTGTAGTGGAAAGGAGCTAACATGCTCTTAGAAGAGAAAAGCCGAATGGAGAAAAGAAATGGATTGGTTGGTATTTTTTTACCATGAAAAGAATTTTTGTGTGATTAGCATTTTTATACATTTGCCAAGAAAAGGAAGTTTTAGTTTTAAGTGAAATTATGCAAAAAAATGGGAAGAAAACAGTCTAAGGGAGACTAGCCTATTTCTAACCTAATTTTATCATACAAAAGTAGCCCTACGTCAAGGATGAAAGGGAAATTTCTACCTAATGTTAGCATGCATGATTTGCAACCTAAGGTCTAACTCACATCCGAACGAAGCAAGCGTGTCCTAAGGGAACATGGTATGTACAAGGATAAAGCAAACAAGCCCGTAAACTCAAGAGAGCACACCTGAAGAGATCCTATCTAGGTTAGCATGCTAAAGAAAGTCTAACAAAACTATCCTATAGGGAACATGCAATGAGAGCGAAGTCGTGATCTCAATTTCTGACTTGAGTGACTCATCGATCAACAAGAAATAAAGGAAAGTGATAAAATCCTATAGGGAGCATGCACTAAGAGCGAAGTCGTGATCTCAATTGCTAAATTGAGTGACTTATCGATCAACAAGAAAGGGAACAAACACAAGCATAACACATATAAAAAATAAAGTGCGGAATGCATGTTACAGGTATTTAAACAGCAACTTCGATCGCACGCTCTTTATTTCCTGCTTATCATGATATCTAGAAAGCAATAAATGCGGAAATATAACTTGGAAGCAGTATAATACCAAACGAACAATGATGTCCGCAAAAAGCGCAACCAAAGTAACGAAATCCGAGATACTTCACGCGAGCTGACATTAACAAACAAACAGTCAGAGATCGAATATTCGGAATAGGTGTCGAAACTTCATCGATGTGAAAATAAATCACCATCGGAATCCAAAAACACATCTGCATATCCTGCATAAAACTCGAATCTCAACAAGAAAAGGTGAGTTACAAATCTCAAGTAATCGGGTAATCAAGATTTAATTCCTAAAACTAAATAGAAAAAACTAACAAATTTTATATTGATTTTACAATTTTTTGAACATAAAAAAGATATATATATATATATATATATATATATATATATATATATATATATATATATATATAAAACTACAAAAGAAAATCCTAAATCCAATAAAATAATTTATGAGAACCAGAGGATGGAAACTAATTTCAGATGGTGTAAGCTAGTAATCAGGCGCTAGGGCCCAATCTAAAATGTCCAATAAGCCAATTTTTGTTCACTTGTATCAGGCTATAAAAAAAGGGTGATGTGGGCATATAGGGTTTTGCATATAGAAATTGTCCCAGGCCCATGCACATGAGTCCATCATTCCAATTCCCATATGCCAGCGTATTTTTGTCTAACTTCTATTAATAAAAAAAAGCAAAATGATAAGAGAAAACTGATGAAACGACATTTAGTAAATAAATAGGGTTTTTTGTGAGACTATTCAGCTTCTCCTTCCTTCTCCTTGGCGAACAGCGCACATCATTCTCTGCCGCTCAACCTCTTCTAACCGTCACATGGTGCTGATCTTTTCTCAACTGCTCTTCTCCTTCCCTGATCAAATGGTCTCCAGCTTCACCGTATGCTACTCACCTTCTCCGATTCTCACAATGGCTTCGTGGATTCCATTATTCTCTCCTCTCATCAATCTTAATTCAAACCCCAACCATTTTCTTTTCAATTTTTCTCTAATCTGCCTACATCTAACGCAAAACAGAGAAACCCTAAAAATATTTGGAGCATATTTAAACGACGATTATGCAAGACTTTAGTGCAAACACTTGGGGAATAAGCTTAACAGGTCCTAAACTACATCTTGATGACAGGGAATCATGAAGATAGGAAGCATCAGAGAAGATTCGGTGCTTACCTTCAACATTTTCGGAGATGTGCAAAAGTGAATACCAGAGGAGAGACTTTGGCTCTGATTACAGGTATATATCCTTTCTACTATTCTTCTTCTGCGACTGCCTCCTTGACTGTGTTTTGGTGCAATTGAGTGTTGTTGTTGTTGAATTATCGACGCAGTAAAGGTGATGTGTGAAGATTGTTGAGGACGATGTGGTGATGATTATTCAACGGAGGATGGAAGAGCGTTAAAATTTGAAGAATGGACTTGTCACGATCGAATCTTGAAGTAATCGCAGAATTCTCGATGAAGATGCTACATGTGGTGAAGTTGTATGCAGAGAGAAACAGAACGATGATGATGATCGAGGATTCAAGCTGAGAGTAGAGATGTGTCTAGTTTTGTTAGTGATTTCTCTGAGATTTGAAGAGTGTAGAAGGCTGAGAGATTGAAGATGAAATGCTAAGGGAGAGTGAAGAAGTTTTTGTGATGGTGATGAAGAGAGCGGAGAGCAAGCTTTTTTGTGTTTTTGGTGATTCTTTTGAGAATTCAAGAATGGCGTGAATATGATGAAGAAGATGAGAAGAATGAGAGACTATGGTGAGGAAGAAAAATGGAGGGGAAAGTGAAGGTTGAGGATTCTTCTGCAGAATTTAAGAATCCCCTTACTGGTTAGTTTTTCTTGTTTTATATTTATGTTATTGCTATCAGCCCTCAATCCATCCCCCTCAATTCTTTTGTTAGTGTCCTGTTATAAACCAGTAGAAAATCTGTTATATCAGAATTGACTTCAGCCACTGATTTTGATTTTCCGTTATCCGATCCAACGGATGAGACTCATCTGATATAATATTAGGTAGGGTTGTTATGGCAGTTAGAGATTTGGATCAGTAGCTGCAACAGATTTCTGTTATGACAGTTAGGAATTCAGTTGAAAAATCAGTTAGAGTTGTTATAGTTATTTTTGATTTACTTTGAGTTTCCTTCTCCTCTATTTATCAATCTTTTTTTCTTATTACTGACAGCTGCTGTTCCATATCAAAATGGTATGTTGATCAGGCTTCTGGGTGTATTTCAAATATGCTAAAAAAGTTGGGCTCAGATCCACAACCAATTTGCAGAACTCCTCAAATGCCACAAATGCTAGCTCTGGATGCCGTTTTTTGTAGTAATACTTATACCGTAACACGGCTGAGTGCACATGCTTTGCAACTCTTCGTTGTTGAGATAATGGAGGATCATCACCAGTAGGTACATTTTGACAGTATGCTTGCTTTCTTCTTCATTTTTAGATGAAAAACTATAGAATTGCCCACACCTATATCTGGCTTCTTATGTTTGAATTGGTTTATTGTGTTTTTGGCTAATCAGTTTTACAGGGCTGCATATGAATTTACTCACTTTTCTCTCATGTGTTTGCAGCACGACGTACCCATAATATTCATGTGAGCTTGTGCCAATAGATTGAAATAGGGTTGTTGTTTTGGAATAAGTTCCTATAATGGTACAAAGGGAGTTTCGAATGAAGATAAACGCTTCAAATGGTGGAAATTATGAAGACTAGGAAAAAGACTTTAGGAATTTTTATGTTTCTTTTGTAACTTTCTTGTAACTTGGTAATGAAATAACTTGAATTTGTGTAATGAATCATGGTAGACTTGCTTAGATTTCTAATAGAGTTTGAATGGACTTGATCATACATGGATAATTCTTGATGAAACTTTATGATTTTGAATCACTTGAGTTTGGAAAATCATGATGAACGACATTTGAGCTTGAATCTCAAACTTTACATAATGATATACACTGAGAAAAAACACATGAATCCACCTTGTAACTTTTGAAAGAAAACTTGAATGAAACTTGTCTTTTGTTTCCATACTTCAAAATCCCATGAAAAGTTCAAAAAAAAAATTTTGCAAATTCCCTCGAGTCTTTATGAAAACTTGAATGGTACTTCTGGAAGACCTTGTAAATGGAACAAATATTGAATCAACTCGAAATCCAATGACGTTTCTTGAGTGAATCTTCAGATCATCCTCGAGGACCTCAATTCAAATCTTCAATTCAGGGTAACCTTGATTTAGTGAACCTTAATCTTCAATCGAATCAAAAATTCAAAAAATAACCCTCCACATTCATAGCTTAACAACAAAGAACAACCCTTGACTGTATGAAAGTCTCAAATACTTCTTCAACCATCTTAAATGATGACAACTCATAATGAGGAAGGAATAACGATCATGTAGACTCAAAGAGAAAACCTAACACAATGAATCATTTTTTAATAATCTACATCCATGCTTAGGCACAATCATAGAAGAAACCCTAAATCAATGGACCTCGAGTGCATACAGATGGAGAAGGCTTGAGATTGTGAGAGGAACAAAACCTAGCTCAATGACATTCTTAGATAATATATGATAAAGTCTCAAGTACACAGGTTGAATCCCAAAGCACATATTCTTCGAAGAAAGCTCTGATGAAGAAAAAAATTGTATCTTGAGGAACCCTGCTAGTGAAGACGTCTATGTTGCTTGAGATCCAAAATCCTAATTTCATACCAAGAATAATGGGGGCACCAGTTGGATCAATGTTGAGTAAGATAGCAGCCCTGATTCATAGAGAGAAACCCTAATGCCAAAGCTCTTCGATCCGTAACCATGGGACCAATGTTATGTGTGAAATGTACAAAGTATGATGAGGGATCTTAGGGGCAAAAATTGGGGTACAACAGCTTCCATTATTTAAGTGTCTCCTATCCGGAGATATGAAGATTAAAATCTTTGTTTCAACGTGATTGAAGATACTTAAATATAAAACAAGCCCTATTTTTGGCCCTAAGATTCCATGTGATGCTTATGATTATGGATGTAACGTATGAACTTTATGCAGATGGGCAAAACACACACTGAAGAAGCAAAAGTAGAGTCTACAAATTGACAAAAAGAATTCAACCAGGATACTAAATCTCTGGAGAACAATACGACTCTGTGGATAGAAATTTGAACGTATTGGAAACAAATTAGCCCCGCTGGGGAAGAGAAAACTCAACTTTATTGGGGGTAGGATCCCGAGAGGAGACAAAGTAGCGTAAACTCCAAAACTGAGGGAAAAGTAGTGGATGACAACAATAAACCGATAGTTGTGAACTATCCACTCATAGAGGAGATGGAAAAAAAGAGAGTAATATCAACACGGGGGATCGGCAATCGCTAATCAGAAAAGATCGATCTTAACTAAGAATGGTAATGAACTACCCGCTCAAGAATGACGGTAAAAACAAACATAGGACAATATTGACTTTTATTGAAGGTAAAGAAACAGAAGATACACCGACGTTTACTGGAGAAGGAGAAAAGAGAATGCACCAGCTTTTACTGAAGGTGATGTTTCAAAGAGCAATAACGAACTTCCCAAAATCCTGGCGTTCTTCCTAGAACGAGTAAAAATACAAGCTATCTCAAATAAAGAGACTACCACTTGTAAAGATTTTACAACAAACTTCTCTTGCGAAACTTCTTCGAAGAGATACCATTTGATGGAGAATCAGATAAACTTCCCCTCGATCCTGACTATAAGCCACGAACTGGTCTCAGTTTCTTCTTTAACCAAGATATTTCACCTGGAAAGGGTAAAAACACAACTGTAGGAATCTTTCAACGAACTATCTTTATCATTGAAGTACATCCAAACTCAACAACAAACTATCTCCCATAATGACGATACTACCATTCATTGGAGTGACAAATTTCAGCAACGACCTACCTTCCATAATGACAAGGCTACCATTCATTGGGAAAACAATATTTATCAATGAACTACCTTCTATAACGACAAGGCTACCATTCATTGGAATATCAAATGTTCATCAACGAACTACCTTCCATAATGACAAGGCTACCATTCATTGGAATATCAAATTTTCATCAACGAACTACCTTCCATAATGACAAGGCTACCATTCATTGGGAAAACAATCTTTATCAACGAACTACCTTCCATAACGACAAGGCTACCATTCATTGGAATATAAAATTTTCATCAACGAACTACCTTCCATAATGATAAGGCTACCATTCATTGGAATATCAAATTTTCATCAACAAACTACCTTCCATAATGACAAGGCTACCATTCATTGGGAAAACAATCTTTATCAACGAACTACCTTCCATAATGACAAGGCTACCATTCATTGAAAAAAACATCTTCTTACGTTAACAGACTTACTGGGAAGGAACAGGTTGCTCAAATAAAGAGAATTGCCGCTTGCTGTTTTAAGAAGGAATTGTAATAAGACTGGCGAGAAATGAAGCTTGATTTCCTGGGGAAATACCAATACATTCATGTTGAGGAGAAAAAAGTCTTTGCGTGCAAAATAAATGCACATTCTCAAGTCAAGGCTCGAAGCCTACAGAAATCAGAATAATAATGTTGTCGGGGACTACAAACTCAAACCAGCAATAAACTGGAATGAAATAATCAACCAAGTCAGCACCCGATGAGAAATAAACTCAAAATGGGATCGCACTCCATCCAGATAATGAACTGAATGGGAAGGATGAAGCAAAATTCTTCCACGAGGGATAACTCGATGGGGAAATTGAAAGGATATACACTTTCTGTTTAACATTGACAGCTCTATTGGAGAGAGAGTAACATAACTTTGCAAAGTGGATAACATGCTGACAAAGCATCAATGAATGCAAATGAGTGATGAATTTTAAATCTATGCATGATGTGTATGAATGTATGGATGTTATCATGCGCATGCTGACAAAACAACAATAATGCACTAGGGATAACCAGACAAATCTAATCTTGGGTGAAGGCAACACTCGGCCAAGTCACATGCAGAACAGAGATTATATTCCACGAGAGGGTAAGCATCAACAGAGGAACAAAGTCCTATTTCACGAC